GGTCGGGTCGGCGGGCCCTACTTCGGGCGGTAGGGCTGGGCAGGCGGACCCTAAATCGGGTGATCAGGTCGGGTCGGGCGGACAATAACACGGGCGGCTGTGCCGGGGTTGGGAGCACCCTCACTCTCGCGGTCGGGCCAGGAGGGAGAAGAGAGGAGCGCCACTATTTGAACCCGCCGACTCTTATACAAGTAACACGGCGACCAGCGTCGGTCAACACTGTTCGCCAGGAGGCAATGAAGCCTGGTAGTCTTGACAAGACGTCAGACACCAGCTCGCGCGCAGACAGGGAATGAACGAAAACGTATTCGCGTTTCTATGTTAGTCAGCGCCATGCACGGGGCAGAACTTTGCCTTTCGCGTGGTCCGGCTTACTCCATATCCATCAGAATGCTCGCTTCCTTCGCAGTCATTTCCTTCAACAGCGCGTCGTCTACTTCGGGGTCTCGCCCCCACGAATGTGAATGAAGAGGGCTATCTTTGGGTACGTAATATTCGAGGAATTGCCCTTCCCTCTCGTCGTCATTCTCGGATTCCTCCTCCTCCTCCTGCGACTTCAAGGTATCTGTGCCAATGTCGAGGGCATCGCTGTGCTCTGAAGACTCCTCGCCTGCATCCGCCAGGAAGCGATCGGGGTCCTCCTGGACTCCCTGCGAAATCAAGTAGCTATGCTCGAAGATGAGCTTTGCCCTCTTGCTATACAGGAACGTGTCGTACAACAAAAGCATCCTGCCGGCCACCACGAGCCACTCCAGCTCGGTGATCTGCGAGCCCGCCACGAGGGCGCCAGCGTGGATCACGCGCCCAGGCAGCAGGAAGTGTAGCAGGGCGCCTGTAATATCGAAATTCAGGTCGACCTTCCTGATGATCCAGCCGAGCATCTGCTCAACCTCCTCCGTGGGCACGCCATCCAACTCGCCCTGCCTCCTGAGGAACGCTCTCCTGGCATGGGTCTCGTAGCCCTTCCTCCATAGGAGTATCAGCGCGCGGTGCTCCTCACTCTCCCTGGCCCTCTGGTCCACCCTGCGGAAGTGCTCGAGCTGCTCCGCCTTCGTCATGTCGAGAAGGCACGCGGGCGCCCGCAGCGGCCTCCGGAGCTCGTCGAAATACGCGAGATAATCTCTGCCCTCCGCCGTGCACTTCTGGGCGAACGCGCAGTGCGGCGGCGGCGCTCCCGCGCGCGCTGCCATGGCACGGCAGCAGGGCAGCTACGGGGCACCGAGCGCTTGATCCCAGGCCGCCTTGAGCCAGAACGGCTTCGGAGAAGGGAGAAGAAAGGAGAGAGAGCGGGAGAAGGAAGAGGAGACAAAAGAAAAAGAGAGGGAGGGAGGCAAGCTAGGGGCGCTCGTGCAATATCTGACATCCTACCCCTCCCGCCCATTTCTTCCCTTTGCGCTGGTGTTTTATCCATCCACCGACGGGTGTCCTAGCGGCAGTGGATCTCGAAAATAGCCCCATCGTGTGATGCGCAATCAGGCAGTGGAGCTGTGGACATTGGAGAGGGAGGGGGTGTGGTACTGGACCAGGAGCATTAACAGGAGAAAGGCGAAAAACATTAAGACGGAGGAGCAGGAGCAGCAGTAACAGCAGGAGCAAGAGCAGCAGGAGGAGCAGGAGGACGAGAGGCAGATGGAAGAGGGGAAAGGAGGCCGGCGGCAACGACGAGGAAGGAGTCGGATTGATTCCCTCGAGCCTTGCGCAGCACGTGCGGCCCAAGGGGAGGCAGACCGTCCTTGCATCCTTCCACCGAGCGGGGGATGCTAAGACCATGTTCGCGAGACGAGGTGGGCACAGAAGGGCCCACCAGAAGGCTTCTCGCACCCAGATCGAGACCATCGGACGGCTCGTCCTGGTTGGAGGAACCATTATAGTCCCTCGCACCCGAATGAAAAACCGTCATAGGCCGCGCCCCCAACTCCCACCAGCCCTTGAAGGCGTGAGTGGTTAAGGGGATTTCCTCTTCCGCCTTCCCTTCTTCGCTATCGGAGACAGTGTTACCCCTAGATGGCCTCGGCGAGAAAATCAACATCATGGAGTTTCCTAAGATGTTGGCCACGTGTTGGCCTCCTGGTGGAGGGGGGGCAAATTTACCACGGCGACTCCTTTGATCGACCGTCCCCAAGACGGCCCCAAGATGGTCCCCGATGCTCCCAAGGGTGCCCAAGAGGTGCCCAGGAGGCCCCAAGAGGCCCCTAGGAGGCCCCCAAGGCGCCCCCAGAGGCCTCCAAGAAGCTCTCGAAAAAACATCCGAAGAGACTCCGAGAGGCATCCAAGAGGCATGTGGCCTTTCTGCTCGCCCTCCTCCTCCTCCTCCTCCTCCTCCTCCTCCTCCTCCTCCTCTTCCTCATCCGCCAATTTCTCCTCCTTCGTCCTCCCTCCTCCTCCTCCTCCTCCTCCTCCTCCTCCTCCTCCTCCTCCTCCTCTTCCTCATCCGCCAATTTCTCCTCCTTCGTCCTCCCCCCTCCTCCTCCCCATCTCCCTGCTGCTCCTCCTCCTCCTCCTCCTCCTCTTCCTCCTCCTCTTCTCGGGGGATGACGTCTTACCCAACCTGTTAGTCCACTGCATGCTCATCCATATCCCTGATCAAGGCATCCCGTCTGGGCATCGTTTCTGGATGGGCTGGTGGGATCACGCGAAGCATCTAGCAATTTCAAGCTGGAAATGTCATTGATTGCGCTGAACCGTGAACGGACTTGTTCAAAACGGGCTGTGAACCACTGATTGACTGCATTCTCCAGAACGGACTGTGAACGTGACTTCCTTCTCCTTCCAGTCGTTGGGTGTCCTTGCATAGACTTCATGGCCTTCAGTGGATCCTGTGCTCAAGAGAACTGCCGCGGCGCAAAAGTCCAGCAAAGCGTTCCCTGCTCCGCGGGGCGCGTTGCTTCCTTGCTACTCGGGGTCCTCCCCGCTCCTCCAGCACCCCTGTTACCCCAGGGTTGCCCCCTTCGGTGGGCTTTGGATGCGGGGTCGGAGTTGGGATGTCCTCCAAGGACGTGAAGCGGAGAGGAGGAAAGAGGACGAAGGATCGAGAGAGAACGGAGAGAGGGTGAAGGAGGGAGGGAAGGATCGGCGAGTGTAGGCGGGTGAGGAGGAAAAGGAGGGGGATGATGAGGCGGAACCCGTGAAACATTCAATAATACGTGGCTTGGATGCCCAATACTGTCGACGCGCTCAGGACTTCGAAGCGGGAACTGCAGAACTTTTGGAACGCTCGGAATGCTGGGCGTCGGAGGCCAGTACTATGTCGCAGAGGTCTGGGACCTCCCAACAGTGTCCCTCAAGTGTGCTCGAGCCGAACCTCTGAGGGCGATCCACAGCAACGAAGCGGGTGGGCCATAGGGAAAGGCAGGGGAAGCCCTAACCAAACCAAAAAGAGGAAAGGACGAGCTAGATTTGGCGAAAAGTTCCCCTGGAAAATTAAGAACTGCTGCCCCCAACGAGGAAGTGGGTGTTCCGTGAAACGCTCGGGAAACTGGGTGCGCGCTGGACCGAAGGGACGGGATTATGTGAGGACCTCCAGCGCGGGCCATCCTCGGCAGGTCAAGGGCACGCGTCGGTCGAGGGAACAAACGATGGGCGCCAACGGGGCACCATCCGTACAGAACGCACGTAACAGACGCTCCGCGTAATCATAAGCATACCCACGATCATGATCATGATGATCAGCAGCAACAACATCATCAACATCATCATCAACATCATCGGCATCGTCATCAACAGCATCATCACCATCATCGCCATCATCAGTATTGGCATCATCATCGATATGAGCATGATTATCCTCATCATCAGCATCATCACCAGTAGCATCATCACCAGCAGCGGCATCATCATCGGCGTCACCGTCGTCGTCATCATTATAAGCAGCAGCAGCATGTCCATCGTCAGCATCACCATCATCGTCATCATCATACGTATCCTCTTTGACATGAACATCCGCATCGACATCATCATACCATCATTATCAGCATCAGCATCGGCATCATCATGGTCAGCATCATCAGTATCATCACCCTCATCGCCATAACCACCATCAACCACAACAAAAGCATCACCATCTCCATCACCACCATCAATAAGTACAGCAGCTACATTATCACCATGATCACATTCATCACCATCACTAACAGAAGCAGCATCACCACCATCATCACCACTGTCACCACCATCAGCATCATCACAGCCGTATTCGTCGCTATCGTAATCACCATCATCATCATGACCATACTCATCATCACCATCATCATCAACCTCATCATCAGTAGCATCATCTTCATCATCAGCAGCATCATCATCATCACCATCAGCGTCAATATCAGCATCAGCATCAGCAACGTCAGCATTATCAGCATCATCTTCAGCATCAGCATCATCATCGTCATCGTCATCATCATCATCATCAGCATCATCATCATCATCATGTTAATCGTCATCATATTCCTGATGTGACGCCGACCGGCGGCGGCGGATGAGGAGTATGAGGACGATGATGATAAGGCATAGGAGGAAGATGAGGCAGACGAGGCTGATGAGGACGATAAGAAGGTGGAGGCGAAGGGGGATGAGGCAGGGGCAACAAAGGATAAGGAAGAAGCGCCTCTTCTTTATCCTTCTCCGTCCCTGCCTCCTCCTCCTCCTCCTCCGCCTCCGCCTCCGCCTCCTCCTCCTCCTTCTCCTCCTCCTCCTCCTTCTCCTCCTCCTCCTTCTCCTCCTCCTCCTCCGCCTCCCGCCTGCCAGCGCCTCCTCTCCTCGGGGTCCTGAAATCCGCATGGTCCGAAATGCACCCCATGTTTTCCAATCCGTTTTGGAGCCCCCGTGGGCCCTCCTGGGCTTCGCGAGGGTTGTTCTGGAGTGCCTGGGGCTGCCCAGGGGCCTCTCAGGAGATCTTGGGGGCACCTCGGGCCAGGTACACCTTTGGCAACGATCCTCCCCACTGCCATCTACCTCTGACCACCTTCCCCAAGCAATGCCAAAGGGTGTCACCACTGGAGTGGTCGCCGCTTCCTCGTGGAGGACGACCCACCCGGGACCCACAAAGCCCCCCAGAGCCACCTAAAACGCTCAAGGGTGTCCAATATCTGTTCGGCCCTTGATCCTCGAACCTCGATCCTCAGGAGGAGCTGGCGACCACCCTGGTTGTGACCCTCCCGCTCTTCCCCCTGGCGATGCCTGCGCCACACGCGTTTCCCCCTCGCACATTTTCGTCACAGCACCACCTGCGCCACACGCGTACTATCGCGGCAAGCGGGCTGGGGGCGCATACGGCCCCCAGGCTGGTTTGCTCGACGAGCTTCGAGAAGAAACAGGGGGGCATGGGGCTCGAGGGGAAGAGGAGGGGAGAGGAAGAATGGACGAGATAGGTGCGCTCGCACCACATGTGACATCCGAACTCGTCCACCCACGTCACGTCATCAAAGCGCAGCGAGGCCCAGAGCTTGACGGACCGCACCCCTGTGTAGTACATGGCGTGCGTGGGCTGCTGGTCGTCCGCCACCATCCTCTCTCCCAAGCCAACACGATCCCACCGACGATCTGCGGGGCCTTGAACGGCCTCCTCCCAATCTAGACGTCAGCTATCCCTCCGCTCCGACGACCACAAGGTGATTCCCCAAACGGGGGGTCACGGGCACCCGCCCGATCGACTCGAATCGAGGGACATCTCGACGACCGTCTTCCCGCAAGGCTCCGCCGCCCTCGCCTCGAAGTAGCGGCCAAGGCCCACCGGTCGCCGTCTCCAGCCACGCCCGTATGCTGCGCCAGGCGCCCACGACAGATTGCAATGTAGACACCCGCCGCCCAGCGGCCAGGTACGCCGGGTGCTTGAATGAATTACGTCCCCGAGCTCTGCCACCACGGGCAGCTGCAATAACGTCCTCAGCGACCAGGCGGCTCCAGATGCTGGCCAGGTTAGCCTCCTCGGGCTGCGCCAACGTCGTCGATGTCGCACCCGCGGTTCGGCCTTGGCGAGCCGAGTGCGCCACCGCGCCTCGGCGGGCGGCGGGGGGCGGGGATCCCCGCACGGCGGATCGCATCCTCCCGCTCTGTCTCCCGCCGCTGTCGAAGCCTCTTGGCCCGCTCGGCATCCAGCATCCCCACCAGGAGCAGAGCCAAGTTCCGACGGCGACACACAGCCGCCTGGGCTGACAGCAGGATCAGACCGAGGATTTCCACGACCACATGGCCGCCCCCCTGATCCTCAGGGTGGGCCGCCCCTTCTTCCACCAGGCCGAAGGCAGACGCGAGCTCAGCGTGCACGAGGTCGTCGAGCGTCGCCAGGCGGCTGGCCACCGTTAAGCCCTCGCGCCCCAGCGGATCCGGGGCGGCCTCGGAGGCCGAGCTGAGTGTTGCCTCCCAGACCCGTTCTGCGAGGCCTCGGCCTTCAGGGCGCGTTGGATGCGCCCCCCCCCCCCCCCCCCCCAGCGAGACACAGCCCTCACCGCAAGGGGTGGATAGGGTAGAACCGATGATGATACTGATGTTGATGCCGATGGTGTTGCTGTTGCTGTCGCTGTTCATGATGATGATGATGATGGTGATGATAATGATGATGATGATGATGATGATGATGATGATGATGATGATGATGATGATGATGATGATGATGATGATGATGATGATGACGATGATGATGATGATGATGATGATGATGAATGATGGTGATGATGATGATGACGATGAGGAGGAGGAGGAGGAGGAGGAGGAGGAGGAGGAGGAGGGGGAGGGGGAGGAGGAGGAGGAGGAGGGAGGAGGAGCGAACGAACCCTGGAGGGGGCGAGTCAACGTCTACCGGCCATCACCTGCGCTGGCAGCGTCAGGTGGCGCGCGGGGCGGCACAGGCGGCGTGCACTCTGCGTAGTTTACGTTTCGAGGCGGAGGAGACGGACGGTCGGGCGGCCGGAAGAGAGGAACACGTGAGGACGAGCAGGACGGCGGACGGTCGGGAGGAGAGAAAGGCTGACCAGCGGCAGGTGGCGGGCCCGCGCTACTGCCTCCGTGCGGCGATGCGCCGAGTCGGACGGCCTGGCGTGCGGCGGCACGCGCTTCACTCAGATGCTTGTACGTCGAGGCCTCGAACGCGTGGACGTCGGCGTAGGAGGCCTGGAAGTTCTTGTATGTGTTGTACATGCGGTAGACGACGGCTAGGCGGACCATCGCGTGGGAGACGTGGTTCTCGTTGTTCGGGTCGGCAATGTGGCAGCTTTCATGCATCCCGAGGCGGGCCAGTATGCAGTTCGATAGGCAGCCCCTGGGGTATGCCAGTGTATGCCACTGTCTAGGACAGATGAGGTAGTGCGAGATGCGATCCGTTGCGTAGTTCGGGTTGCAGCCGTATATGCAGGGGCGGCGATCAGGTTGTACATGAAGACGGCATGATGTTGACCAGGCACCAGCCAGGGTCTTCATCGTGGGCCAGCAGCGCGAGGGGGACACACGGGCAATCACTGCTCGCGCGCGCCGCCAAAGGGTCTTGACACTGTTCGGGAGCTGGTGCAAAGCGGTCAGGTCGTTGAAAGAGCCAGCGTCCGGGTGCAGATGCTCATTGATCTCCTCGATGTAGGTGTTCTCAGACGGGTCAGAGACGAAGCCGGCCACATGTATCCACTGGCGACGAAGACGGTGTTCCTCGGCCGCAAGGTTGAACGCTGCTTGAATGTCATCTGACCGCGGCACCCTCGCCATGCACGCCCTCTGCCATAGCGGTTGGCGTCTGAATCGTGCCAGGCGTGTCGGCAAATGTTGCGAGCGCGGCGACGGGGGATTTCTGCCGATGCGGAGGCGCAGAGGATGCGGAGACTCCATCGGCGAAGATGACGGAGCACATACTGTTCGCACCAGTTCATCCAGTCGATGTCTCGACGTAGCGCGCGGCCCCAGTTGTCGATGTACAAGTCGGGGAGCCAGTCCGAGGCCCAATGCGTGAGTACTTCAGCAATAACATGTAATTCACGAGCAGCAGCGATATGGTCATCATGGTACTCATCAGGCGTGGGAGCAGGAGACAAGGTAGCAGGTGTCGATGTCGTCAGAGAAGGAACCGAAATCGTAGAGTTCAGTAGTGAACGGGTAGCAGGGCTGAGTAGCTGGTGTTCACCTCCTGCTGTTGGATCTTGCCCGTCAGATGCGATGGGGATGTACGGGGACCAGGATTTCAGCCTCTTCACGATGGCGATGTCGACGTTGTCTTCGCAAAGGCGGGTCTGGAGGGTGGTCGAGCACTTCGGTCGAGGGGAACTGCGTCGAGGCACGCCCAACGCATGACCAAGAACGGGACGACGTGGCGGCGAGGGCGCCGAGGCCGCAGCAACGCGGTGAGCACCCAGAAGTTGTTGCCCGCGCGTAGTCTGCAGTCTTCATTCTTTTCAGAGCCATGTCTATGGAGCCCTTGCCCGTCGGGAAGGTGGCGCCGTTCTTCGCCGCTTGGGGACGTTGGGCGATCGAGATGGGCGAGGCCCAACACTCGGCGGACCAGCGCCCCTTCACCGCAGCGGCTGTGGGGAGGTCCCCCACGGCGGACTCGCTGAGCATGTCAATCAGCGGGGGCCAACTCTTGATGGTAGTGGTAGCAGCTCTCCACAGCGTCGCACTCATCAGCACATCTGCACCTGCAGGGGTGTCAGCTCCATCCCAGCTCTTCAGACCCAGCGTGTCCAGCTTGGTGAAGGCCGAGGGCGGCGAGCGGATTATCTTGTGAAGGACATGGACCTCGCGGCTGAGAACCAGTTCAGGAACAGGGAAGAGTTGACCAACGTAAGATAGCGTCGTCAGCGCGGAGGAGTTGTACGATTTGTTCTGCTGGATCGGCGCGTGAGATTCGCCAAGGATCCGGGCGCGGTAGAGCCGCTTGGCGGCAGGGCCAGACCATTGAATATGTTCGCCAGCTCCAGGCACCATGAACACGACGAGGTGCTCGGCAGAGGACTCGTTCTTGAAGAGGGCCCAGTCGGCGTGGATGTGAGCAAGAGTGTCTTTGATGCCGTCGACCAGTTCGGAGGAGGCAATGGCCCAGACGGGGGCCAAGACGCTTTCGCGTGGTTGAGGGTGGAGGCCAACATATTGGGCAATCGCAAACAGGTGGGGTCGCAATCCTTCAATGTCACGGAGACAAGCAAGAGCGCATCCTAGATCATCCGCACCTGCCGTGGCAATACCCCTTTGTGCTGTCTTAAAGTAGTCGCTGGTGCCGATCAGTGGGGGGTCAAAGATCAGCGCCCAGATGTTGCCGCTGAGAGGGCAACCTTGCGCGACCCCACTTGACGCGAGAAAGAGCAGTCGTCGCGTTCCTCCCATTTCGAGCAGCGCGATCGGCATGTGGTAAGACGCCTGTAATAACGTGAAAATGCGGCCGTGCATACCCCACCTCTGCGGGGCGTTCCACACCCAGGAGTGCGAGAGGCTTGGGACGGCGGCCGCAACGCCCATGCCCAGGAAGCACGGCTGAAGAGCTTGGACATCAGGATGAGCGCTATACTTGCGGTTGCATGCGACGATCTCGACAGCGCTGTCCAAAAGCTGTCGTCCAGGGACAAAGCCGCGCTGGATAGGCGGGGCCTTTTTCGTCGGCGGCTTGAGCTTTCTGTTCGAAGCGGAAGCGGCGATCCTCACATCCGCGCTCTTCATGGCAAGGGGGCGCAACTGTCCAGACTCACGAGTGCACTCTGATTGCCCAACAGGTTCGCCCCCTTTCGGTAGCATTGCCATCATGGCGCGGTTCAGCGCGCGTGGGATAACGAGGCCGTCGGCCAGATGAGTGGCGAGCCAGGCGAGAATGGAGAAACTGTTGGGAGTGACGAGCCACGCGCGATATTGAAAACCATCAGGCCCAGGTGCGGAATCAGAAGCGTTCTTCGCCGCCAGTGCTCGTCGGGAGACGCGGCGCCGAAGGTCGACATGCGGGGGGGGGGGGGGGGGGCGAGTCAAGGTAGGAGGTCATAGCGTTGGTGCCTGCGGGCTTCTCGGTGAAGATCGGCATCCAATGGGCTTGAATGGCGGAATGCGCGCCCACTGGGCCCGTGAGCAGCGCGTGGGACGCGCCACGGGGTACTCGGATACCAGCAAGCACCAGGCACTTGGAAAAGACTCCCAAAGCTCCCCTTTCTCACGCTCAGTGTTGACTCGTTTCCGCCACCTGTCGCCTCGTAGCTGCTGTTGTTCTTGAAAGGCTTGGCGGGCAGCGGCGGCAGCCCGAGCTCGTCGCTCATCGGAAGCCGCAGCGCGGCCGGCGGCGTCGTCAGTCGCGAAGAGAACAGGGCCCTTCAGCACGATGACGGAGTAGCAATTCGGGGATGCTGAGGTCGCGTTCATCTGGAGGCACCTCGCGCCCAGTGTCGATTTGTCGATGGGGGTGCGGGCAAGTTCGGCGTCTTGGCACCACACTGCTCGGGCACTACTGCGCGTGGCCATGGAGCTGGCCTCCTTGGAGATGGAATTGCGGTCGGTCTTGAAAATATCCGGATGGGGGCGCGCGAGTGCGTCGCGAGCTTGGGAGGCAGCAGTGATCATGTTCTCCTTGAGGGTTTTCTACTTGCCGATCGGGGCGAGGTTGTCGCAGTCTGCGTTCAGGGGCAGGTGCTCGACGGCGCTCGCTTATAACTTGGACTGGAAAATTTACGCGGGAAGGCCTCGCTCAGCATGTGGTCGCTGTGCGCGGTGTCGGATTCGAACCTGCATGAGCTTGCGGTCGCTGGCTGGGCTGCCATGACGTTCCAGAAGAGAGTCATCAATAACCATGGCGGTCTCGATCAGCAGGATGCTGTGGGCGGCGAAGACGCGAAGAAGCGGTCAACGCAAGATTCCGTGGTGTTCGCTGCGCAGCGGTGAGTGGTCGACGCGGCGGCGCTCTCGGTGGGCCAGCGGAAAGGCCGCTTTATAAAAGTAGAGTGATACTGATACCGCTCATTCGCATGTATGCCTACAGGTCGAATGAGACTGCGCGCTGGGTGCTCAGCAATATTGAAGTCCCCGAGCATGACGAACGGTGCGTGGTCGGGGTCGGCCAGCGCTTCGCTGTTCGCGGATAAGCAAGCGTGCTTGATGGTAGCTCGGCCGACGGAAGAAAGGTCCTGATTGTGAATCTGCAGATAGATGTGAGCATGCTGTTTCGCGACGTCGGTGATGCGAGGGAGAGCCGCACGGCCAGGTACACGAGCGGAGAAATGCATGTCGGGTTTGGCCGTCTGGTCGATGTCTCCAGGCTTGGGGGGGGGGGGGGGGGGGGGCACTCGGGCACCAGAAAGGCGACTCCACCCGCGGCGAGGTTGCAAGGGATAGGGCTGTGATACGCCTGGTACTTGACCGCCGTGGAGCTGGACATTTGGCGCAGGGAGGTCATGGCCCCATGCGTATCCTAGAGAGCGATGATGGAGAACTTCTTGGGGTGCGGTATCGTAATCTTCCGATTGGTGTCTCTTCTGCGAGGGTCGGAATGCAAAAGTGCCTGTGCATTCCAGCTGACAATGGAGGGGTCCGTATTCGAATCTGCGTGCAACCATGGCGCCCAGCGCGTGCTAAAGCCACGACACTGCTTCCAGTGTGTTGCCAAGGCAAGGGAGCAGGCGAGAGCCGCGCCCAGGCCATTGCGGTCTTGTTCAGAAGCTCCATGTCGAACAACTGCGTCAGACCATTGGACTCGCGTCGGCTCCGACGGTGAGTTGCCGACATAGATGCGTACGATTGGCTCGTTGCCGACAGAGAGGATTGCATCAGTCCTGTGCGTGCGGATGTCGAATGCGGGGAAGGCGGTGGCTGCGAGCCTGGCAAGACGCTTGAGTTGCACTTCTTGTCGTGCCAACTTGGGGCCTTTGCCTGCGCTGACGAAGAGGTCGTGGTCGATGTCACCATTGGATATGACAAACTTCCGCCGATCTCGTCCGATTCGAAGATGGTTGTGCAAAGCTTGAGCACGCGGTCGAACGACGGTGTCGTCTCCCATGAGAGCGATGGAAACGCGCTTGCCAGGAGCAGCGCTGTTGAAGCGCACGCTTGCCAGGTCCACCCCAGCGGCTTTGAACCACGGAGTGAGAGCTTGTTGTAGTTGGTCCTTGGTGATGTCGACCGTAGAGCCACACTGCTATGTGCCAATGTGTCCAGGTCGGCTCCAATCTCCGATGTTGGCGATGTCCAGGCTGGGTACTTTGGCCTCGGCGATGGCGAGCGTGGACTTGATCTCTTCGACCGGCTTGTTGAATGTTTGGCTTGCATCTTCAGCGTTGGCCACCCTGCGTTTGAGCTCAGCAATGTCATTTTCACAAGCGTCTCGTCTGGCTGCGACTGCACCTGCAACTCCTTGAACTTGGGCGAGGAAGGCGGCTTGAGCGTCGGCCGTGACTCTCTCGGCAGTAGCTTGGAACTTGGCGGAGGCGGCGGCGACCTGGGCGGAGAGGAGCCGTTCCAACTCGGCCCTGAAGGAGTCAAGTTTCTTGCCAGTCGCTGCTTCATGCCATGGATCTTTACCACCTCGAGGAGAGCGGTCTCTGTCGTGCTCGGGCATGTGGGTAGCCCTTCTTCTTGGACTTCAGCAGGCGAGCGAATGCGAAGAGAGGCCGCGGCACCTCGGGAATATTCCGCGTGGATATGTAAAAGGAGGATCTAGAATAATCTCCAGAGCTGGCCGCGGACTAGCGGTATCCATGGAAAGCCTGCTGGCGCTGTGCCAGCCGACATTGGGATCTTGAGCCAAAATGGCTACGGAGGAGGAGGAGGATCATAATCTGAATAATAATAATACTAAATAATAATAATACTAATAATAATAATAATACTAATAATAATAATAATAATAATAATAATAATAATAAGGAAAAGACGAAGCAGACAAATAATAATAACAAGACAAAGAAGGGGGAGGTTGCGGATGGGGAAGGTGGAGGTGGAGGAATGCGGTGGGGGAAGAGGGGCGGGAGAGGTAGAGGCGGAGGAGGGGAAAGGTAAATGTGAAGGTGGAGACAGAGAAGAGGAGGCGGCTGAAGACTGAAGGCATGAAGAGACCTAAGACCGTTGCGCCCGGAGGCGACCTGCGCCAAGCGCAGGCCGCGAAACCAGAACGCCTGGCCCTGCGTGCCAGACGCCCGGCCACAGGCCCCAGGGCACCTCAGCTCCACAGCGGGTCCGTGCCGTAACGACCCCGGCGTTGGTCTCTGGCACCGCGTGGATCGTTCAGCCTTTGAATGACCGCGGCTCTCTGATAGCGCGGATCGCTCGACATCGGCCAACTCTGGGCCACTGGCGGCGTTCAACCCTGAACGCCCGCGCTGGGGTCGCCGCATCGATACTATGCGAACCCACCGTACCCCTCGGCCAGTCCAGGCTTCGGGGCAGAGCCCCCCCAGCTCTCCGAGCCGAGCCCAGCGGAGGCGGAGGAGGGCGGGAGGAGGGCGAGAGCCCGCGCTAGAGTCCCCGCAGGGGGTCGGCACGGGCGCGCGCGGGCATGTGTGAGCTCCGCCCAGGCGGGCAGGAGCGCCCTGCCCGACTCGGGCCACGGGGACGGCGGGGAGGGCGTGGCGGACGAAGGAAAGGCAGTGAGGTGATCCAGACATCTGACGCCGTGACTTCTCTGCAGCGCGTCCCCCCAGAGGCCTGGACCCCTTCCTGGGGGCGGCCTCCGCGCCTGTCCCGCGCGGAAACGGCGCTCTCTTGCCGTCTTCCCGCGCGCTGCGCGCTGCCAGAGTAACCCGCACCACCCTGGAGACTCGGATCGATGCAGGCGGGCGACGCGCTCCTCCTGCGCCGCCCCGCACCAAAAGAGGCGCTCTCCTGCCGCTCTCCTGCAGTGGTCCCGCGCGTTGCCGAGGTGTCCTTCACCGGATACCTCGCTCGGCGGCAACGGGGAGGGGGGGGAGGGAGGCGTCGGAAGCAGATCAAGGCCGCCGGTTCTCCAGAGTCTGCGCCTCTGGAGGCCCGTTTCGGGCCCCAGCGTCGTCGAACACCAAAGCACGCGAGGAAGAAACGGTCCTGCGGATGAGGTCGTCGTGAAGAGCCAGCCTGTAAGACCCGTAAGTATGAGTCTTTATGATGCGCCGCTTACACGCGACGACAAGCGACATGGATCATGAGACTGAAAAGAAAACGCTCGGTCGGTTCGGCCGGCCTGACGGGTTGGGCAGGCTGGGGAGGGAGTTGGAAGGCTCCCGAGGTCACAAGGAATGAAACCATATTGGATCGAGACCAGGCGCACAACAAAGCTGACAAGGCGATGTGTGCCAGTAGTAAGCTGGTGCGAACAGAATGAACCTCCTGGCCACGGTACTAGCTGCGTCATGTCCGGCGGGAGCGAGCAGGTACTGTGCGTTCGGTGACTTGCTCCTGGCGACAACATGGGCAACACAATGAGCGTGAGAAGAGAGCGACCACGCTCGGAGTGGGCATCCAGGCAACAACGCCGACAACAACCGAAGCGAGCCAGCGCGCTCGGAGTGAGCCTCCTGCCGACCTCGCTTCTCCATGCGGTCAGCGAGCCAGCCAGCACGCTCGGAGTGAGCGTCCTATCGCTCTCGCTGGCAGCGCGATGTGAGCCAAAAGGAGGCTGGCACGCACGGAACGAGCTTCCCTGCAGGAGCGCTGGCAGCGCGAAGCGCAGGGCACCTGCGGCAAGTTCGCGTCGTGACGGCCTCGGCGTTGGCTTCTGACCCCGCGTGGCTCATTCCGCCTTCAACGACAGTGGCCACCAGACAGCGCAGGTCGCTCGACATCGGGCCATAGGAGCCACCTGGGCCAGTCTGGCCTGGGAAGCACAGCGTCGGAGATCTGGGCCCCGGTGAGGGTGCTGGCAGGGCGAGCGCACGGGCGCGAGCGCGCGCAGGCTCAGATGGACGCACCCGTGAAGCCGCGGCAGACGTCCCCCAGCGCCTTGACCAGGAGCTCGGGCTGCAGGTGCTCGCGGACGAAGCCGCCGAGGCCCGCCCCGCCGATGAGGATGGGCTTGGGGGCCGCTGGGATCTGGGCGGGCGCCGTCCAGTAGTGGAACATCAGCGGCAGGAAGCGGTCCAGGAGCAAGTTCCGGGCCTGGGAGGGCGCCAACTGCACACCGGCACAAGTCCCAGCGAGGACTGCCCCGGGGCCAGCATCTCCCTGGGACCTGCCCAACCCAAGCGACCCCAAGAGCCCCCGGTGACTCCCTGAAGGGCTCCTTCCTGGGCACCTCCTAGAGCCTCCCAAGGCACGGTGGCAGGTCAAGCCAGAGGCTACTATATCCGCCGCCCCCTGTGGCTTGCCACAGGAGTGCACGGCGGGCTGGATTCTATGTAGGCTTTGGTCCTTTATGAAGATTCCCAATGGGCTTTCGGCCGATCGCGCTGGCCACCCAGGAGGACCCATAAAACGTGTCTCCCGTCGACTCTCTCTCCAAATAAAGACCCGTAAACTGCCCAGGTCACCAGTCTTCCCGCTCCAGATGGCCCCAAGATGGCATCCAAGACGGCCAAGATGGTCTCCAAGAGGGCTACGACGGCCCCAAGAGAGCCCGAGATGCCTCCAAGATGTCTCCAAAAGGGCCGAGATGCCCCCAAGATGGCCTCAAGATGCCTCCAAGACGGCCTGGAAAGCCTCCAAGAGGACCTCCAGGAAGGCCACGAGAACTCCTGTGCTTGTCTGAAGGATGTCGGCGTTTGCTCACTTTCGTGAGGGCCCAAGATGGCCCCAGAGGCCATCAAGATGGCATCAAGAGCCACCAAGATGGCCTCAAGAGCGCTCAAGAGGCTTCCGAGATATCCCTGACGGCCCAAGATGCCCCCAAGACGGCACCAAGAGGGCCCCAAGACTGCCCAGAAGACCTCCAAGGCGGCCCAAGATGCCTCCAAGACTGCTCTGAAGCGCCCTAAAAAGGCCCCAAGTCGGCCCAGAAAGGCCTAAAGACGGCTCCCGACGGGCCAGGAACGCTCTCAGACGACCAAAGAGCCTCCCAAGGAGCCCAATGGCCCCCAAGAGGCCCAAGGAAGCCCCGAAGAGGCCAAGAGGCCCCCAGAAAGCACCTACGAGGCCCTAAGAGTGCCCCAAGAGGCTCCCAAGTGGACTCCTCCTCCTCCTCCTCCGCCTCCTCCTTCCCTCTCCTCCTCCTCCTCCTCCTCCTCCTCCTCCTCCTCCTCCTCCTCCTCCTCCTCCTCCTCCTCCTCCGCCGTAGCGCCGCGCACATTCGTTTTAAAATTTGCCAGAGTTTCGCGGAATGAGGGCGGCTTCTTTTCAAAATGTGGCTCTCGCCTCAGCGCCGCGCGAATACGTTCATATAACTTGCAAGAATTTCACGGGTTCCTATGACCAGAGTACCAATACTAATGGTTTGGAAGGATTCCGGAACGTGCGGGCGCAACAAGTACGTTGATTCGCGGTGTTCAAGTGCCAGGAATGGCGTTCTGGCACGGTTCGGGATCGTCAAGACGCAACAGTCAGGTTGATCCGTGGCGTTGGAATCCCGAGAACAATGTTTTGGCGTGCTTCAGGGTCTTCAAGCGGTTGTCTTCCAACGAGGCAATGCCCTCAATGGAAACGAACCTTGTAGGGGCCTGCGAAGAGGGAGCTCGGAGGTAGGGTTTATTCCAACATCGTTAATGACTCTTGGATTAACACTGGTCCTCCTCCTCCTCTTCCTCTTCCTCCTCCTCCTCCGATTCCTGCTTGTCCTCCTCCTCCTCCTCCTCCGCCTCCTCCTCCTTCTCTTCCTCTTCCTCCTCCTGTTTCCCCCCTCTCCTCCTCCTCCTCTTCTGTCCTTCCCACGTGTTCCCCGAAGGGTTTCCACAACGGCTTGGGGAACACGTAGTGCGATAGCTTGGCCGAGCTCTGGCCGCAACGTTCGGCCACATCGGCGATTCCAAAAAGCAGGAGGCGGCGGTGATTCGCCGCAGGCGTCTTCGATCCGCCGCTCTCATCGCCTGTAGGATGGGGTGCTTGGTGTGCCACGGGTCCTATCTATTTTGGGGTCCTTCCAAAAGGTTCCCAGTGGCCTCCGCCGGCCAGCCGCAAACCATCTCAAACGACGTCCATCTCCAGAACACCCGCCTCCAAGACGGCCATGACGGCCCAAGAGGGATTCGAAAACGGCCCCAGACGACCCAAGACGGCCACATATGGCCTCGCGAGAGACCCAAGAGAGGTCCAATGAAAAATATCCGATTTGGCCCAAGACGGACCCAAGACGGCCAAAGGTGGCTTCAAGAAGTCCCCGAATGGCCCCAAGAGGCTCCCAAGACGCGCCAAAGAGGCCCCAGGAGGCCCCGAAGAGACGCTCAAGAGGTCACTACCTCGTCGGCCTCCATCTCCTCCTCCTCCCCCTCCTCCTCCTCCTCTGCCTCCTCTTCCTCCTCTTTGTTGACGTTCGACCGACTAGAGGCGGCAGCTTGGAGCGTACTTGCATATAACATCGACTTGAGGCAGCGGTGAACAAATCAAGCCTGGCTGGCGCAGCAAGTGCTGGGCGGGGCGGCAAGACAAGAAAAAATAAGAGCGCCCCGAGGGGCGCAGAGCATGCGCCAGCCAGGCGGAATGAAGGGGGAGAGCGATCGATCGATCAAAAACCTTGATGACATCAGCTCGAGGACCCAACGAACGGAGTAGAACGAACTACGCGTGCACAAAGAAAAAACGAAACAAAAACAGGCGACTCTAGAGTGGCGGGAGGCTAGGGCATGAGCTGCAGAGCCTGGTATAGTCCTGGTACGCATCCCTCCATGGCACCCCCCCATCTCGAACACCCACCCCCACTCCCAAAGTTGTAAGTCCAGGCGTGCAGCACTTAAGATCGAAACTTGCAGCACCGGCGGCGTAAGAGAAAGAGAAAATGACGCAATTAGAACTCGCGGCAAAACATAAAATAGAAGCTTGCGGATGGCGTGTACGGCCAATGCCTAAGGACGAGCGATAGAGTGGGGCCACTCCCTGTGAGTCTTGGCACTCCAGGGGGTCCCAAGATAAGAACAGTCTTGGAGATCCTTCGCACCACTTCCCGCCCATCCTCTGAACAGCGTCCCCCCTCAACCCCCACAACGCATCCTGCTAGGCCAGCGCTGCCAGGCCAAGCAACGGGAACCTGCAAAATGGGCCAAGGCATGAGAGAGCTCGCGAAGTACGTCAGTCTTGAATGCTGGCTCCATCGTGTGATCAAGCCATGGAGGTAGAGAAGACGGCGTGAAATAGCACATGCGGCGCATAAGTATTGGCGGTGCAGATCCTCCCCTTCCAGCCCAACATCCCGATGCCTCCAACCCACCCATCCCCGAGTTGGCCAGCGCTGCCAGACCTTGGTAGAAGGTGAGTAAGCACAAGGACACGTAAGCAATGTGCCAGACACGTGAGGCTAAACTAAAGATGACGAGTGCGAGCTTGGCGGCAATTCTTGGCCTGCTACCCCTGGCTTTGGGGCCGCGTGTTTGTTGTCTATTCTTCGGGTTTTGCACGAACCCATTGCGACTGCTGGCTGTAGGCTGGCGAGTCGGTGGCCGGCCTGGTCAAACTCTCCTCGCTGGTGGTGGGAGGTAAGGCTGGCCGCCCAGGCTGGCCTGTAGCGATGCGTAATTACTGGGAGTAGCTACTGCAGTGCGGCACCGAAAGATGCAACGAGAGGCGAGAGCAAAGAAAAGGAACATTGAAAATGCGATGGCGCTGGCGATAGAATGCGCGCGCGGGGCCCACCGTGTCCTGACCGATCGGGGGCCCCCAAATATAGAAGAGGCAAACATTAGAACGTGCTTATGGCGCCAAGTGATCAGCAGCACAAGCACTGACAGGAGGATGCTATCGAAGGGGAGGTCAAGATACGCGTGCGTTGCAAATCTAGTAAAAGAGACAGGCGACTCAAAGCGAAAAGAAACGAGCATGGCTCGCTAATGTGATGTGTAAAACCTGAGCTGATAGCATGTCTGCCGTGCCCGCCGATCCCCACAAAGAGCGAGACCCCCTCTCCCAGCGTCAGCTCAGGCTTGAGCGCTGGCATGGCTGAAAGAGATAATCCTGGCGTAGCCAGGAGGCAATGGGCGGCGCGGTGCAAAGATAGCGGTGGCTGGGCGCCCCTCCTCCCACCTCCACTGACAGCAGCCCCCAAACGTCCGCTGGTTAGTAAGGCAAGCTGTGATAACAAAAAGGGTAGAACAGGCCACGCTGGCGCAGGCGGTGCTAGTTGGCCCGCTGGCTGGCAGATCTTAAACAGATCGCGGAAGTAAGTCGTGCAGCCAGGGAACAGGGTGGAAAGCTGTGAGTTTGGGAAAACAAGTTGCGCGGCAACCTCCCCACCTGCGCCCCGAGTCATCGGAACTAGTGTGCATCAGCAAAGGAAAAGAGAGATATACCTCTCGGGCTTGGAACCATGCATCAACGACGGGGGGGGAGTGGGGGAGCAGGGGAGGTAGTCCATCGAGGGAGAAGAGAACAAATGCCCCATGCATCCGCAAGCGGACGCGCATGGCGTCCGCTGTCCTCAACAATCAGCGGGGTAGGGCGGGGGGGGAGGCGCTCCCGCGACCTCACTCGTAGGATGGTAGGGCGGCAGGTGCCCCAGGCATGAGAGGGGGAGGGGGGAAAGGAGAAGGAAGACGATAACGACATCAGGAGGGGCCGAGGTATATCGTAAAACAGGTATGAGGAGTGAAGCAAATCAACCGTTGGCTTTCTGCGGTAATTGAGGACGGGGTAGCTGTCGTTGGAGCCGTGGGAATACTGCCACCGTGCTCCATTTTGCGTAGTCGCCGTAAACGGAATAGCATGGTTCGTCTATTTTCTAGGCGGGGCCTGGTGCGGCTTAGGCGCGGGCGGTAACTAGTATGCCCGTGGCGCCTGTGCTGTATGAACTGATCGTTGTTGTAGAGGTCCTCGGCGTTGAAGATTACGCTGGCGCGTTTCAGCGAGGCGCCGTTGGTAGTGAAACAGGCGACGCCGAGCTGTAGCTGCGTAATCCAGCAAGCGCGGGTCGTTGCGGTCGTAAGTGAATGCGCGCCCCAGGTGGTCTGTATTTGCCTGCAGAGTGGTCTTTATCTGGCTGAAATGTGTACTTGGTGGCGCATTGGGCTGGAAGTATACCTGTC